AACTTTGTCAATGGGCTGGCAAACACGACCCAAATTCACAGGAACAAACAATTGGGCTTGGTTTCGAAGTTGACCCAAACAATTGCACTTGGCCCATTGAAAGGTAAGCCCATATTAAAACCAACCCAAGCCAATATTACTCTACCCTTCCAATCACGTCATAGCTACTGCCCATCTACTCCCCCAATTTTCTGTCCCAAACAAAGAGCCTCGGCCGAAATTGGACATACCGTCGATGGCAAAGAACAACTATCCCTAACGCCACCACCATCACAGTTGAAGGTTGATAATAGAGGTAGTTCAGAACAAGCATGGGAAGGAAATTTCGTCGACAAGCTAAATTCGAAAATTAAAGCTGAAGAGCAATTGCTGAATGTAGAATCCCGAATTTTTAACTTAAATTCGCATATATTTTTATTTACCATTTAAAAGGAATGCAATGTTTGGTTAAGTTTTTATGCAAGTTAATTGATTATCTCTATAATTATCTTATTAGTTGAGGGACCAAATTGAAGAAAAAATAAATATCAATTATTTTATACTTTATTAAATGGGCCAAATAGTTAACTATTGAAGGAGTTAGAATTACTCTACCAATATTGGGTTCATTTTGAAGCTCATAATAAATGGCGAATTATGGACTCAAGAAAAATTTAATTTGGTTAAGTTAAACCCGAGTTTTAGCCGTCTAAAGAATATTATGGTTATAAGAGTTTTAAAGGATGAGATTTTTCGCCAGTTGACTGCCACCACTAGTTTAGCTAAATAAATTAGAATTTTAAGTTTTGGTTAAACAAAGTCTTTATGTTAAGTATTAATAATTATACATTTTTAATTAAGAGGTAATCAATTAAAACGTAATTCCTGCTTACAAATTTAGTTAAATGCAAATCAAAGGAATTTGAATTATTTGATGTTATACTTTAGTACATGAGTAACCCATGCATTTCATTACAACTTTCACGTGTCCATATAATTAGTAATCATTGTGTCCCCTAATTGGAACAAATTTTGGGAAGATTGGACTGAAATTCTAATTTAATTAATAAGCATACATTTTATAATTTTCGGCCATTAGGAGATTGATAATTTAAGATATTTGTATTAGAGTAAATTATGCAAATAGGAGGCAGATTTGTTTTCCCCGTCTACGTGTAAAAGTCATGCAGTGTAATACCTATCATTTCCTTGTTGTAATTGTAATTGATATAGAAATTGGCAGAAAACCAATAATTAATCTCCAGTCATACTATATCAATCGGGAATTATGAATCAATTTCTAAGAAGATTGCATGAAAGATGAATTTAAATATGGCTGAAATTCCACTTCCCCCACGTGATTACCCAACTTCAACAGTATAAATAGAGCACTAAAACCACATTCTACTACACGTCCATTACCTCTCCATCTTTAAAATATTCCTCTATATTATTTAGATTTTTTAAGGCTTTGGAATTGCAATCACATTTCTACAATTTTATTCTCCACTTTCATCTTCAAAAGGTGAGATACTCAGTGCTATTAGTGATTTTTCCACATCTTTTCAAATACGTTATTATAAATTTAATTACTTCAATTCAGGCTCCTTCGGGAGAAATCATGATACATTTTAAGGCACAATTTAGCCTTCACGTTATTTTGCAGCGCTTGCTAGAATTATCATTTGTCATGGTGTGATAATTCTCATGTTATGTCGGTAAGATAATTTATTTGTAATTTCATGTTTGACTTGAATGTGGAGTAGCAAGTATCTCATTGAGTATAATTCGTTATACTCATCCCCTTATTTACAATTTTCAGGTAATAATTAGTATGCTAGACGGCGGTGGATGGATTTGCTATTGGACCAACGGATCCTCGTCATGAAGTATTTTAATTTTCAAAAACACTAGAACTAATAATGGGTTATTCATTTTTGACCCAATTGTGAGTGCATTATAAATTTTCAATTGGTTTTAACTGTTCTAATAATTTTTGGATGAATGATATGTTTTCAAACGTTCTGCATATTTAAATTTATCTTTTGATTAAATGTTATTCAATCTTTTACATAATTTCTCGTTATATTAAAACTGTTTATTTCAAGGTATATTCATGTTTCGTAACGTTTCGGGTTATTAGAATTCGGGGCGTCACACTGAAATCAGTGGGCTTGAACGAAACGGTCTGGGAAAGAGAATGTGAGGTGTCGTTGAAGCAAGAGAGGATCAACAAAGGGGAATTATGGGTTTTGATGGAATTGGACTTGGGAAAGGAAGGGGCCGAATGGATGGGAGACAGGAATGAGATGAAGCAAGCCCCTTTAAACCTTGGCCAGCTAGATCTAAAGTTAATAGAGATAGCCCAAGCCCACGACTCCCTTATTCTTCTGTCCACCTACATAACCCGTCTCTTAATCAAAATTCACCTTCATTTTCAGTCCGAAAATCAGTTTCCATTACTCCAAAATTCGTTAAATTGAAGCAACCACAAGCACACCATCAACTTAGCTTCAAAGGAGAATGGAAAATGGTTTTTGTCTTCATTGTGACAAGAAAATTTCAGTAGGCCATAATTGTGAGAATAGAGGGTTACAATTGTGGTGGTAACTGATAGTTTGGAGGAAGTATGCTTCATAGAAGTGGAAAACGAAGATGGGGAAAAAATGGAGCTTCCAAGGATGATAAAGCTTCAGGGGTAGATTGATCTTAACCATATGATATTCGATGATGCGGCCAGCTATCAATTGTTTACAACTCATCAGGCTCAAAAATTGGACATTTTGCGGGTAGAGGCGACGAGATATGGAGTTGCTTTGGATACTAGTTATTATTACCCGGCTAAGTTGGTCCATCCACTTCAAAGGGTTGAAACATCTCTCTTTTACGACAACGATGGCTGGATCTCATGCAAAGAAAGTTGCGTAGTTGTATGATGAACGGCTCAAACACAAGAACCTCCACCTTGAGGACAAGGTGGATTTTGGAGGGGCGAGTAGTGATAGACCCTTACCTCCAATACTAATTTGTTATTCATTTTATAGTATTCCATAATTAGTTAGTGAAGGGGCAAAATGGTAATAGAAAGTTGGTAGAGTATAACAAGGGGGAGTCGGGTTATTCATTCAGGGAAAATCTGGGAAAGTTGGGAGAGACCGGGCCTTTAAGTTTCTATTACCATTTTGCCCCTTCACTAACTAATTATGGAATACTCTAGAATGAATAAAAAACTAGTATTGGAGGTGAGGGTCTATCAGGAGACTAATGTGATGACCAATGTGAAACAAAACTTGAAGTCCAATGACTAATTTGGAGCAAATTAAAGTTCAATGACCAATTGAGTTTTTTACCCACCAAACAACCATTTTTTCCCCATCATCGTCCTTAAAACAATGGAGGCTGGAGAAAACCCATTAAGATTCAATCCAAATCACGATGGTATTTTCTTGTTCCTGAATGGGTCTCTTTCGGGGTTGTGGGAGAGCAATACAAGCGTCATGTTGCTAGGCGAAACTTGTAGGCCAAAAATTGAAATTTAGAAAATATGGAAGTTTCTCTTAATGCGTGTAATGCGGCTTGGCTGGCATGCGTGATGGATCAATTGATTACTTAGAGTTAGAACTTTTAGATGATTACACTATTATCTTCAAGACCGAGGTTTCGACTAATACTTTTGTTATTTTTGTTGAAAATCCAATTGATGCCAGCCTTAAGGCCCATTTCAGAGTGAGGGGAGTAAAAATTGTCTTAAGGCGCTAATTGTGAGGCACTTTATGAAGGTGCACGCTCCAGTTGTGCAAGCCACACACTTTAACAACCTCAAGGCTTGTGAGTTCCACACACTTTAACAACCTCAAGGCTTGTGAGGCGGGTGCTCCTTAACCAATAGGCTTATTTACTTGCTTTAGAGGTAGCTCTACAAAACATAAAATATCTGATTGGCCTATTCTGGGAATAGCCCATTGTCCCCTAAAACGTTAAAATATTGTGTACCTCGTACACCTACGTTAGGAATAGTCCATTGCCCCGCCAACTAAAATACTAGTTTCTTGTTTGTAACTTTATAGATTTCACTTTATATTGGAGCATTACATCGTACTAAGTTGCTGCTTTATTTATTGTCATATATTCAAAGGAATTTTAGATCCAATAGCTTAATGTCTTGGAAAATTAGAATTATTGCATTTGAGTGATGTGTGGGTCTTGACACATTTTTTGTTAGATAATGTTTCTATAGGATTCTATATATTCAACTCATTGGTTTTGCAAGCCATTACATAAAATTTGTTCTGTATTTATCCCACTTAACATCACCACAAAGGGAGGCACAACCACTGTTCGAATTCTATACAAGCCACTCAAGGTTGGGTTGATCCAGCATTTGTGAGAGGCAGAAAAAAAAAAAAAAAACCACTGACATGATGACGTGATGGTTAAAATTATTTATGAATTGTGGGGGCTGAAATTTTAAAATCATCAGAATATAGAAACATCTTTTCTGCTAAGAAGATTGATATTAGATAATTAACTCTAATTGCAAGACTAATGGGTAAAGGAGAAGTCATCTTCATTCTACTCGTTGAGGGCCTGAGATCCCTTTACACCCAATGTGGGTTTTTTCGATAGATCTCGTGCTTTAGATTCTCTATTCTGCATATAATGACCCACACTTGGTTTCTAGAACAAACAATGTTAGAAGGAAAAATTCCAAGTGAGATATTAAAATAAATTGACAAATAAAATGTGATTGTTCCAAAATAAATATACTCACCTTTCACATTTTCTAGATGAGCCATCATTGAGCATTTCTACCTGTACTATAATTACGCCACGCCAATGCTGCTTAGCTGGGAGCCTTTGACGCTTTCCTTCAGTTCATGAATTTCCGCCACAGCATTTATTGTTATTGCCCTTATTTGTTAAAATCTAATGTTTGGTTTCCCTTTTATGCTGTTCTACAATTTGTTTCTATTTGCCTGCATTAAATTACAGTTTTTTTTCACACACACACAGACATATAGGACGCAATTTTGCTAGGACGTAGTTTATGAATCCTCAGTTATTCGGATTGGCTCAGAATGGACAACAAGCTATGATACAGAACACCTTGTCCCTACAGTTGTGGTTAAACAAATGCCTTCTATGTCTTCTCCCAATTCTCATTCATATCATCTTCAACAGCAAAGGCAGCAACAACTAATGGAGCAGCAATTAGCTGCTTCTTCTCAGTTTCATCAGAATTCTATGGGATTTAACCCACAACAGATGTCTCAAATGGCACAACGGCAACAAAAAATGGGCCATTCCCAGATGAAACTGCAATCACAACTGCTTTTGCATGACCAGCCACCACAGCAGCAGCAGCCACAACCTCTTTCATAGCAGCAGCATCAGTCTCCAGAAATGGTGGCTCCCGGAGGCCAGAAATCTGTTAGTTTCACAGGATCTCAGCCAGATGCTACTGCATCTGGAAATACTACTCCAGGAGGGAGTTCGAGCCAAGGGACAGAGGCGAGCAATCATCTTCTTGGGAGGAGAAAGATGCAAGATCTAGTTTCACAGGTTATTCCAAGCAAGTTCATTAATTTACATTTTTTAATTCACTAAATTATTTAAGATTTCGTTGCAAAATGCAGGATTTTGACTTTCAAAAATTCAGGATTTGGACTTTCGATTTTATGGAGATAAGTGAAAAAATCAGGATCAAATTAGATAGTGAGTTGGAAATAAGAGGAACATTTTATGCTATATGTTTTCTTTTTTGGATGCGGTACAGGGATTAATATAGTTGTTATTCTAATGTCATAGTTGGATCCACGTGGAAAGCTGGACCCCAAAGTTGAAGATCTTCTTTTAGAGATGGCTGATGACTTCATTGATTTGGTAAGGCTAGCAGATGCATGATGAAAAATACTAATGGTAACTGTTGAAATATTGTGTCATGCGACGGATGGTTGAGTTATTGGGGGGTGAATAATTTTTGAATTTTTTACTTAGCATTGTTTTTTATTTTTTTGGGGTTGGGGGTAACAGTCCATCAGTTGTTTCAAATGTTAGTAGAGCTGGTACTACCCTAAATTTTGGTATCCTACATCGTCTAGTTATACCCTGGAGTGTTGATCATGGGTCACCGTGGCTAGGGATGTGATAGGAGTAGATTATGTAGGATCTGTTTGAAAATTAGTAGTAATGTAGGAACTGTCCTATTATTTAGAAACATTCTATATCCTGTAGTTTTCTTATATATTATTTGTTGGATTGTGGGTTGATGTGTGTGAATGTGTGGAGGTGGAGTTGGTGATCTGCATGCTTAAACATGAATTTTTTACGTTCCTTTGATGATTCATCCTGTCATATCTTCTTGTAGGTTGCATCATTTGCTTGCTTCCTGGCAAAGCATTGGAATTCTTCAACTCTTGAAGCTAAAGATGTACAGCTGCATTTAGGTCTGTGCTTCAGGACTTCTTTATATAGCATCTTTGCCTAGCAAATAAAGGCAGTGCAATTTATCACTGATGTTTAGGATACTGATCGACGTTATATAATCTGTTAACACTCTTGATCCTGTTCTTTTCGTATCACACTTTATAATTGTATCCTAACACAAGGACAATTTGAACTCTTATTTTTCATTGCATCATTATCTGAAAATTATACAAAGAGCTTAGTTCGTTCCATTAGGCTAACAGAAGGAACTTCTGCAGAGAAAAACTGGAAATTGACCATTCCAGGGTACTCTAGTGAAGATGACAAACACCTTGCAGAGCATGTAAGCATTGTTCTCTATTCAAAATTTTAACTTAATGCAGCATGGGCATGGTGTTTGTTATAGTCATGATATTAGGTCTTATGTTCAACTATTGCCAAGCCGTGAAGTGTGTTATACTTGGATGAGGTCAGGAAGCATTACTCAATATTTTGCATTGATAATACATTTATGAAGAAGTATATGCCGAATATTTCTTTTTCATTGTTTAATTTTTTTCAAGTTAATTGGATCCCATCTATGAAGTACTACGACACTTGGATTAGGTCAGGAAGCATTTACTCGATATATTGCATTGATAATACGTTTATGATGTATAACATGACTACTACCTTTTCCTATTCTATAACTTTTTCAAATCTTAATTTGGGTTGCTCATTTATGAAGTATTGTGACACTTGGATAAGGCCAGGAAGCTTGTACTCAATATTTTGCATCGATAATACATCTTTCGTTGGCTTTGATTCGTCTCCATCTCAACTCTCTTCCCTTCACGTACTCGTATGTCCTTTTCCCACTCCCTCGCTCTACTAATACAGCATGTTACTTTTTTTTTTCCCTAATATATTTTGGATGTGATGAGGACATCACCTAAATATGTTATGTTGAAGACTTTTATTTATGTTTTGTGTATTGGTCTTGGCCCAAGCCTTTTTTTTTCTTTAGGTTTATTGCTTTGCTATTTATACTTGGTTTGTTGTGTACTTTGGGGACGATGATTGGACATTAACTGGCTTTGCTGCCCACGGTTTTCTTCTCCTTCTCTTTGGTATTCTTCTTCCCTTGCGTCTGCTGCTTCTTCCTCTTTCTTCCCTGTTTTCTCCTCCTTCCTCTACTTCTTTCCTGTTATTTCTTCTCTGTCTCATCTAATTCTACATCAGGATGTCCATGACAAACAGATTAAAGTACATTGGAACTCGTTTTGCAAAAATAAAGAAAACGTTTAAACAGTACCTTTCCATGTCCAGAATTGCATCCTGATTCCAGTGACATAGTAGTTTGCACTTTGCAGTAATAAATTTTCAAGTAACTTAATTCACATCAGATGCAAAAAAAAATTTCTCTGTACTTGGATTAGCTATTACTACATGCTTATATTTAAGTTGAATTTGGAATGTCTTGCAGTTACCAAGTGAAGTCCACGAAAAGCGTCTGGATGTGGTAAGTTATATTGTTCACACTAAATTTTACCTGGATTGTTCCCTTCAGGAATATATGATCCATTCCTATATAAAACTCTTACTCAGATACATAGTTCAATGGAGCCTGTCCCATCCGAGACAAGTACAAATAATGCTAGGCTGATGGATAGACAGGGCGCCGGCAATCCATCTGGTCCAAGCCACATGTTAAGACCTTCTCCAAGTTCGGAGCAAATGGCCTCACAGTCTAATGTTCCCCAAATCCAGCAGCCAACAAATAGGTTTTGATGGCCATCAGTTCCCAGGTCTCTTGCCAAATAAGAAGAGTTTCTTAGTAAGATATCAATCATTTTGTAATAAACTCAATGCCATTATGCATGAAAATATACTGTTTTTTATTCTTTCTTATGGACAAGAGTGCCATCATATGATCGGAAATGCAAAGCTGCTGACTTTCCTATGTTAAATGTTGATTTGTTTTCCATTTTTTTTTTTTTAAATATTTTTGCTGCATTTTCCTTTCCATTTCTCTGCCACCAGTCACATGCTCTTTGTCCTTGTGCATTTGCCCCTGTACACAAAAATAAGCCCTGTACACAAAAATAAGAAGAAGAAAGGCTCGTGCATGTTGTTTCTTTTTATCTTCCCCCTTACCGTTTCTCTCTTTTCATGAAAGCTAGGACAAATGGTTTGCCCATTATTTTTCCAGTTCTCTCTCTTAATTTAATATTTTGAGCGACCCATATAGGATACTGCATATAAATTTTATTTATGCATGCCTACAGTGATGTAGCCTCGCATTCTTACTTTAGCCTTCTACACGAAATAAACATTTCCTTGTACCACAACCTTCAAATGGTTTTATGGAGTCATAAATGGTATACAATAAAATCAGTATAATAATTTGCACCCATGTTGATTTCACAGTATAAAAATTGCCATCTGAGACCAAGTCCTTACTTGGTTGGCCGTGAAATCCTTGTCAATGTTCATCTAATTTTCTCCACTTTTACTACAATCCCACTGTGGCTTCTTGTAAATTTTGGCGACGGATTCTGGAAGTGCCTTGTTTTTCATCCTTAAACTATGAATCTCCACGTATTATGTCTGGCATGTACATTACTGCGTACGTCAATTCCCTGGCCAGCTGCACATATCTAAGCAATTTTTTCCTGTCACAGGTTAAATGGAGAATATTGTAGCTGTCCACTGTTTGAAGGCCTGCGATTATTCAGTTAGGGCTGATAATCAGTTGGAGAAAGTCTTTATGGAAATACTGTGACATGAAGATCCTTGTTGGATGAAAAAGTTGGGAGTTTTTTTTTCATTTTTTTTTTTTAACATGTTTTTTCACATTATATATAGTGTACCGGAATTAAGTATTTTGAACCCCGTCTTGTGAATAGTTGACTTGCAATGGGATTTTTATGTCACCACCATATCATGTTTTCATTTTCTGATAATCATTCAGTTAGTTTCTCTGCATTTTAAATGCCAACACTGCAGGGAAGTTAATTATTGAAGTTTTTGAAGCCAATTTTTATATATTGGCTTTGACAGTTAGGGCTCTGTGCTAGGCTGCTAGCAGAGGTGTAAACAGTTTTTGAAAAATAAAGACCTCTGAAGATCGTTTCACTTGGGCCATGGGCCTCTACAGTTGAGTCGGACTTGACCCAACCAGCTGTAGGTATAGACCAGCTAACTTAGCAAACTCTCTTTCTAAGAGATTAAACTCAATAGAAAAATATTTGAAATATCATTTCCCCAATAATCGAATACTTTTATATGTAGATATTGCATATTTGATTCCATCCATAAATTTCTCAAATTATCTTCGGCTATTTCAATAGTTTTCTGAGCTTCTTGTGAATCAATGTCACTACCTTGGAAGCCCTTAGGTTATATCACTATATCTCGATTTTTCATATATAAATGTAATTAATATTTGGTAGAAGTGAACATGATTTGATTTGAAAAGTTTATGACAACATTTCTAATCAAACCACTTAAAAACGGTTTGAGGGCTTGTTTGAGGCATATTATTAGACAAAAAAAAAAAGAAAAAAAATGAAAATTCCGATCATTAACCATCACATTCAATCAGTTTTTTTGACTTCTCATCTCTTGTGTGGGGTCTAGTTATATGTGCAACGGTTAGAATTCTGATTTTAATGAAACAAATCATGTGCCCCAAATAGGGGTTGAATTTTTTTTTCGAAACAAATCAAATCACTTCAATTTCTAAGTCAAACAAATCCAAACCAAAGTTTTGAGTTTGGTTCAGTTTAGAATCATTGTTTAATAAAGAAAAAATAACATATATCGAATATGTTAAATTATAAATATTAGTCTAAAATTTCACTTTAAAACATAAATAGTATCATTAAAAATATTATAAATCAAAGTTATAGAATTTTAATCATTATAAATCAAAGTTATATAATTTTAATCATTGTAATGCAACATGATAGGACATTTTAATCTGTTAATTAATACTACTTGATGCAGCATCTGCAATTATAGTTTTATAACACATAATTCATTTTCTTCATAAAGATAAAAATATTGTACATGAATTCATTGGTTATAGTAAAATGATATAAAACAACAAATTAAAAAAATGAATAGAAAGATAAAATAAGATAATATTTTCTATAACCTGTTGTGAATCATCCAATGCTTGTACCTCGTTCAAAAATTGACGAACCAATATAGGTTCATTGTTACTATGAAAGCAATTTTTAGCGCAAGCCACCACCTCAACCATTTTTGCACTAAAAGAACTCCTAAAGAAATCACGAATCCGATCACGAAGAGAAGCAAATGAAAGGCTTTCATAAAAATTCTCGTAGAATCGAGAATGAAGTTTTCACCGACACTCTGCTCAGGGTTCCAAACTCAACGATGGCTAATAGGAATTGCAGACTCGAAAATAATTGTGGACATTTGAATAGCCAATATATCTATAATAATTTGGGGAACAATCTTGTATTTATTTGTATTAAATTTTCACCAGAATAATATATCGAAAGGCTTATTAATCAAATCTTCAAAATGACCATTTAAGTAGTCTACTAAATCAATATAGGAATTAACAATAAAATCTAGAAACTAAATTAAAACGTAAATAATTAATTGAGTGATCTAACAAGGAAATTGAGATGCAAATAAACCAAAATTAATGTTCGCTAAAAATTTAAAGAGCACAAATTAGTTCAAAACAAGACAACTATCAATAAAATATAGCAAACAATTAGCAAAAGAGGAGAAAAATTAGATAATCAGACCTAAAAATTTAGCCAAAATTCGAAAAAAAATATTAGTAGAAAAATAAATGTATGAGTTTAAATTAAAATTCATATTTAGTAGCATATGCAATTGTAATGATGAATATGGTTCAACAAAAACTGTTCAACACTTCACTTTTGCATTCACAGTTGTGATTACTGAAGGTTATTTGGCTGAAAATTAATTAGTTAATTGGAATGAATAATTGACTGTTCAGTTATTGGGTTTAATTGACTTATATCTAATATGGATGTGTGTTTTGCAACTAAGATGTGTTTAATTTTAATTAGGTTGGACAAATTTAAAATTAATTTACCTTTAGATTTTTTAAAAACGGTTTGGTTGTTTGAAATGGTTTGCAAACATTGAAATCTTAACTAAACAACTTCGAAGTGCTTTGGTTCGATTCAAAACAAAAATATTGACAAATCCACATGGACCCAAACCAATAATTTCGGAAAAGCGATTTCGGTTCGATTTTACGGTTTGACAATTTTGTTGTTCAACCCTCCTTGACTTGGGTCTCTACTCTCCACTCTCTTCCAGAATGTTTTATATGTTAAAAATTAAATCCATTTTTTGAACCATTGTGGGGGCTGTGACATGCATTTTTTTTCTTTTCTTTTTTCTTTTTTCTTTTTTATTTTTGCTCAAGCTCTGCATATTTTTCCTTTTCCCTTTCCAGAAAATTTAGGTTTCCATACAATGGTCCACTCAAGCCATAGGCCTCTACAGGTGAGTCTGGCCTAGCCCAACCCAGCCGTAGACGCAGATCGGTCCATTAATTGACATTCGTCTAGCCCGACTCTGCTGTAGAGGCAGACATGTCCAAGACTGAGCACAGCGGACTGGAGGCCAGCTATAGTGAGGAAATGGTGGCCAACGGCCGATTGACCCGGCCGTTTTTTCAAAAGGGCCTTTGACCAAAAAATAAAAAATAAAAAAAAATAAAACAAATGCTGAAAATTCAAACACAAGCCAAATGGTCGAAAATACCCTTAAAAAAAAGGAAAAGAAGAGAAAAAATGAAAAAGCAAAATCTCATTACTGACGCCGGACAACCCAGATCGGACCATCGTCGGAGATCGCCATTTCTCAAAGGGTTTAGCTTTATTCTTATTCTTCATTGAAATATTTTTTGTTGCTGTTAATGTTTGAAATTTGAAAATTTGTTTATTGAATATGTTATGAGTTAAAAACAAATTTTGAAGTTTAATTATAGTTAAAATTAAAGAAAATAAAGAATTTGAGATTAAAATGACGGAGAAACATGAAAAAAAAGGATTGAAACTCGCCGTAAATGGAGTTTTCCGACGACCAGTGAGTTCTCGTCACACTGGGTCCGGAGCGTCCGGATCTGGACCATTGTATAGTCCGTAACGGACCACGTGTGGTCCGGACGGTCCGGGTCCGGCGGGCCAGCTGTCCCTCACCAGATTTTTTTTTTTTTTATGAACAAAATTTTGAAAGTTATAATTTTTAAAAAAAATTATAATTTAATTCATTTTCCATAATTTATTTTTCATTTTCATTTTTTTCTTTTAATTTTTTTGCTCATTCATGTAAATATTTTTTCCTTGAATTTAATTTATTTTTCAATAATTTAATTCAATTTATGTATTATTTAAATTTTATTTACTCTTTTAAATGTGCGAAGAAATGATTTTATTTCTTACGTACTAATGCATGTAATTTGATTTGTTAAATTTTAAAATATGATAAATGTTGATAATTTCTCATAAATATTTTTAACGTGTATTATTTTTTCAGAATGGAATACCACCTAGACAATATCATGAGAGCTCATTTTGGAAAAAGTTACATTATATCGGTATTGGAGGGACTCGATGAGGAACATATAGCCATACTTCATCGATCATTCATATAGTCATTCTATCCGTTGAAGGACATGTAATTTTTCAGTTAGATAAAGTAAATAAATAATTAATTAAATATAATTTTTTATTTAAATAAGAAATTATATTAAATATAATTTTTTTATTTAAAGAAGTGATTAAATAAATAATTAAATAAAGTAATTAAGTATACATAACCAATTAAGGTAACTAAAAAAATATTTCAACGAGAAATTAAATTTAATATTAATTTTTATTTAAGGAAATGATTAAAATAATAATTAAATAAGGTAATGAAATATGAAATAATATTTAAATGAGAAATCAAATAAGCTAATGATTAAAATATCCAATTAAGATTATTAATTAATAAAATATTTAACGAAGAAAGTAAATTAAATATTAGTTTTTTATTTGAGTAAGTGTTTAAAATACATAATTATATACACAACCAATTACGATAATTAATTAGTGAAATATCTAAATAAGAAATCAAATAAAATACTAATTTTTTTATTTAACCAAGCGATTAAATAAATAATTACATAAAGCAATTAAATATTAAATAAATAATATACATAAAAAATTAAAGATATATTTAGAGGATGATTAAAATTAAATATTTTTATTTTTATTTGAATAAGTAATTAAATAATGTAATTAAATTAAATAAATAATATACATAACCAATTAAGATAATTAATAATAAAATATTTAAATGAGAAATCAAATGAAATATTAACTTTTTATTTAAATAAAGTAATTAAATTTTAAATAAATAATGTACATAACCAATTAAGGTAACTAAAAAAATATTTCAACGAGATATTAAATTAAATATTAATTTTTATTTAAGTAAATGATTAAAATAATAACTAAATAAGGTAATGAAATATGAAATAATATTTAAACGAGAAATCAAATAAGCTAATGATTAAAATATCCAATTAAGATTATTAATTAATGAAATATTTAACGAAGAAAGTAAATTAAATATTAGTTTTTTATTTGAGTAAGTGTTTAAAATAAATAATTATATACACAACCAATTACGATAATTAATTAATGAAATATCTAAATAAGAAATCAAATAAAAGACTAATTTTTTTTATTTAAACAAGCGATTAAATAAATAATTACATAAAGCAATTAAATATTAAATAAATAATATACATAAAAAATTAAAGATATATTTAGAGGAGGATTAAAATTAAATATTTTTATTTTTATTTGAATAAGTAATTAAATAAATAATTAAATAATGTAATTAAATTAAATAAACAATATACATAACCAATTAAGATAATTAATAATAAAATATTTAAATGAGAAATCAAATGAAATATTAATTTTTTATTTAAATAAAGTAATTAAATTTTAAATAAATAATGTACATAACCAATTAAGGTAACTAAAAAA